AATATCTTGACTCCTGTAATGTCAAATAATACATACTATTAAATACTACGCATACACTGAAAGAGTGATATAAGCTAGACTTTAGTTTATGAATGGACCTAACTTTGTGGAAAGTACGTAACTATTTAGGAAGAACCTCTTCAGAGATCGTAGCTTTGACCCACTTGCACAACTTTTTTCATTCTGTCTCAATACCCAAAACACTGATTATCATAGCTGTATGGGAACTTAGAAATTGTATGGTCCAATTCTTTCATCTAATAGATAAGGGAACTGAAGGTTGTAGTGTCTTAATGATTAACTGAAGGTCACACTTCTAGTTAGAACTGCTAGAGCCAAAAAACAAATGTCCAGTATCGCAGGCTTGTGGTATTTCTCACACAAGGCAATGACTTCTGGAACAGACAGAAGGGAGCAAGGGATGGATGCTCATCAGACCTGTTGAAGCAATCCATTATGGTTATTAGAAATAGGCACAAATTGGGCGGGCCCGTGGTGCACTCGGAAGAGTGCGGCGCTGGGAGCGCAGCAGCACTCTCGCCGTGGGTTCGGATCCTATATAGGGATGACCAGTGCGCTCACAGCGCTCACTGGCTGAGCGCGGTGCAGCCGGTCTCAAAAAGGACAAAAAAAAAAAAGAAATGGGCACAAATTAAAAAGAAGAAGTGAGGTAGAGCTATTTATATATACTAACATGGAAACAGCTCCAGACATTATTGAATTTAAAAAGTAGTTACAAAATAATACATAGAGTGTGCGTCCATTTATGTAAACCAAAATGAATAGTACACACTTTTCTATGGACAAGGTGTGGGGAGATACATTCACTTTCTAACAATGCTTCCTTCTGGGGAGAGCTCTAGGATCAGGGATGGTGGTCAGAGGAAAGTTAGCCCTTATCTGCATTGTTTGCATTTGTATAGGGAGAATCTATCTATGCTTTCATTGTTTAAGAATTATTTTAGGGCCGGCCTGGTGGCGCACTGCTACAGTGCGCCGCTTGGGAGTGCGGAGGCGCTCCCACCTAGGGTTCGGATCCCACATGCAGACCCGCCGCTCACTGGCTGAGCGAGGTGCAGGCGCAACGCCAAGGGTTGCGATCCGTTGCCGGTCACGAAAAAAGACAAAAAGGAAAAAAAAAAGAATTATTTTAACAGAGTAGAGCTATATTTTCTGTTGTGCTCTATGTCACTCTGATGGCTTTGTTCCTAGCACTATGGATCATGTTCTCAGGGACTCAGTCTGTTACCTTAATCCCTGTGGAATGTCTAGATTAATCCCAAAGCTTTAGGCATCATGGTCTGACATGCAGAGAAAGCAGAGAGAGTATTTGTGGGCTTATCTTCTCAAAAAGTACTCTCATTCACATTGATTGCCATTTCATACCTTGAATAATAACTGAATATGTAAATACTACTACTAATAAATGACAATAGTTATGCTCTTTTGAACACTGACTCTACCCGCCACACTCTCCTAAGTGTCTGCATGCATTATTTTTCTCATTTATTCTTCATAATCACTTTGTGAGGTAAGTGCTATTATTATCCCCATTTCAGAGATGAGAAACCGGAGCTTAAAGAAACCACTGCACCTGACCATGGCCACAGGGCTGGTGGGTGGAGAAGGCTGGATCTGCACCCAGGCAGTTTGACCCCAGAGTCTGTGCTTGGGCACAGGAGTGGGCACTTCCTGCACCTGGACAAATGCTGGCCTCCAGTGTGTGCAGGAGGAGCACAGAGAATGCACATCTTCCCAGAGACCTCTGTCTCCTCTGCTTCCCACCGCTTCCTCCTTGAACTCCTTTGAGCCTTTGACTTAGGGTTTCAATTGCCCCTGGGTTACTAAGTCAAGTGCAGAATTCTATCAGGCAATGTGTAGTGAGGGGGAAATATTCTCCTCTGGAGAATGAAAACCCATCTACGGTCATGTATGAGCCCAGCAACAGTTTTTCAATTACTGGTTCATTTTATTTAAAATGACAGCAGTAAATAAAAATGGCAAAACATCTTTGAAAGAGATAAGGGCTGGCCTGTGGGGGCCAGTGAATAATTCCTTTTGTCTTCTTTTAATATTTACTTTGGATGTGTCAGCTTTGTTCCTGAAAGGTATGGAAAGCATAAAGTGGTGAATTTTGAATGATTTTTGTAGTTTATGTAGAGAAAAGCACTTTTCACAAAGCTGGTCATCTTATGCTAAATAACACTTTTCTCCCTGCCCTCTGCCTTTGTCCAGACCTTGGAAATGAGTTCGTTGTTTCTCTAGCCATGACCAAAGCATCTCTGATTCATCACTGAAAGCTTCAGTGAGATCACAGGAATCTTGGTTTAAATGTGTGTACGTACATTTATGTATATATGTATCATGTATGTATATTTATGTATATGTACACATATCTGTAACATATATTATCTATATTATATATAGATATGCAATGTAGCTTTAATTGGGAAAATTTGCATTACTTGGGAGCCATTTGATGAAGTACTATAAAGTTCCTCTCCCATGCTCTAGCACCGTCAAGTTTTTGCCTAGAATCATACGTTGGATTTTTTGACTCCTGCCAAATCTGCCTAGAGAAGCCGTTTGTAGTTTCAAAGTTGCAATAATATTTCCATAAACTTTGTGAATATTTTTCTTTTGGAGGAATAACTCAACCTTCTCCCTTTTCCCTCCTAGTGGCTTAACACATGTATATCAAAGATGAAGCTGGGATCTATCCTATTTCTTCTTAGCCCCCGGCTCAGGGCCTGGTGCTATTGCTCCATTTCTATACTTGCAAATGTAGCAAATGGAAAAGGGGTTTCTTGAGTGCCTGCTCTGTGCCTGCCCTATGCCTGGGCCCCAAGATAAGGTGGAGATAGGTACAGCGGATATGTGACCTGCGTTGTGGGGCTTGTGTCATACCCTGCCAGCCTGCAGGTCTTGGCTCTGCTGAGCTTCCAAGTTACCAGGACTACAGCATTTTCAAATGGGTGAGGAGTTTTGACAAACACATTTCTGCAAACAAAGCCACTTATTTTAGGCCCAAGTGTTTGCAGCAAAGTTTAAATAATGTATCTAGAACATGTCAAATTGAATGCTTTCATTATATCTTTTTGGATTTCTTTGGCAGAATATTCATAAAGTAAAAGCCTCGTTATTTTAGATTTCTCAACTAACTCTCTGCCATTAACTGCAAACAAGATGTATGAGGCAGTCACAGGAATCTGAGCCTAAGAGAAATATTTTAGATCACAACTGAAGTGAATCAGGGACTCAAAGGTTCTTTATTCAATGCTCTAAGGTACTGGGAAGGAAAAAATTTTTTGTTGGGCCACAGCTGCAACTGAATGGTGTTCATTACATTATGAGCCAAAGATTGGGGATTGGAATCATCCCCAATCCCACCCCCTTCCACCCAAGAAAGAATACTCATTCCTGAAATTCTCATTAAAAAAATGGAATCCTTTTGGTTAGATTGGCATTGTTCTTCGAAGGAAGGCTAACCAGCCCACGAGGCTCAGCCTGAAACCTGGGCTTGGCATTAACCTTTAGTAGAAATCATCTGTTCAGGGGCTGGCCAGCACAGTGGGCCTAGGGACTGAGGCACTGCACTTGAGTGTCAAACCTGCAAAGGGGGGAAGGGGAAAGAGAAATGCTGGGCAGCCTTGCTCTGGAGAGACCTGGAGAGCCACAGCCCTAAGGGGGCAGTCCTAAGCATGGAGGAGATCAGGAGACGTGTCGCCCACTGAACTCTGCAGAGGGCCAGCTCTTATTTGCCTCTAAGTGTTTTCTGACATATTTCAAAGTGAAAAATAAATCTCCTTCAAGAATCCTTTTTTTTAAAGATGACCAGTAAGGGGATCTTAACCTTTGACTTGGTGTTGTCAGCACCACGCTCTCCCAAGTGAGCCACGGGCTGGCCCTCCTTCAAGAATCCTTTTTTTTAAAGATGACCAGTAAGGGGATCTTAACCTTTGACTTGGTGTTGTCAGCACCACGCTCTCCCAAGTGAGCCACGGGCTGGCCCTCCTTCAAGAATCTTAATGAATGTTCCTGCATGTTTCCTAGGTTTTTATAAAACAGGGGCCTTTCGGACATGTCTTGTCTTTATCCAAGTCCCCAGGACTGGCTGCACTCCATGTCCCCTTCTCTCGGTGCAGTGACCTGTGGGTCCAGAAGGGCCCCCGCCACGGCATATTGTGCTGGGCGGTCACAGGTGGCAGAAACTGCTGGCTTCTCTTTCCACATCCCACAGGAAACATTTGCACCTCCAGCACTTTCCACACAAAGCGGTTCATGGTAGCAACACCACCATGTGTGGCTCACAAGCCGCTTGCTACGCTGCTTTGTGATTCATCTTTCTACACGGCCCCTGGGAGTCCAGGGCAAGAGCCAGACCCTCCTGCTGTCTATGTTTGGTAAGCAAACTGTTGACATTTTAGAAATTCCTTGTTTTCACTCTATTTAGAAGTAAAGTAGTCATTAGCAGAAGCAAGCATTTGCTTTTCGAAGCTATACGTTAGTGAAATGCAATGAAGCTTTCATTTATAACTTGCATTAGTTGTAAATCACCAAACAATAAATCTGGCTGATGAAAAATTAAAAATAACATGTTAAAGAAGGATAAATTACTTACCCCATTGTTCCTGGGCTCAATGGCAACACGGATAATTTAGTCAAAACATATCTTTGATCTTTTTGTGTGTGTGATTAGTCTGCGAGTCTCTGATTATAGCTGGCTGAATGTTTCCCTCCAAATAATTGGGTGTGAGCATTAATAATGGCCCTCTATTTGTAAATGACAATTGCTATGACTTCATTTATATGCAATAAAGCCCTTATAATAGATTACACAAGTAACTTTCTGCAGTTGAAATAAGTGAAACATACATGGTTTTAGAGGAATCTAATTGGAATCAGGCTAAAGCACACTGATGACTTCCAGTTTATGAATACACAATAGGGTTTGAATGTATTTTTCATTATTTGAAACTTTTTTCTCCTAGCATGTAGTAATGGTGGGAGAATTAATCGACACTGAAAATTCTGGAAACAAGGAGAAACAGACTAAAACCACAGGCACCAGGCAAATGAAGAGAGAGAAGAGTGCTTTAGGTAAGTCTCTGGTTAGACATAACTTCAGCAAGCTTGACTAGAGAATAGGGGCACACTGACTCCGTGGGGGTAAGACAGCTTCATTCACAGCACTCAGAAACCGCACAGCTCCTCTGAACACAGTGGTCTTAAGTAAAATAGGAGGTTTAAAAAATAAGCAAAGATAATCAAACAACATTTGTCCTTTTATGTAGCAATGTTCTAGAAAAATCTTCATTGATTTCACTAATTTAAATATCACAAAGCATGGGCTGGCCCGTGGCTCACTCGGGAGAGTGCGGTGCTGATAACACCAAGGCCCCGGGTTCGGATCCCATATAGGGATGGCCGGTTCGCTCACTGGCTGAGCGTGGTGCTGACAGCACCAAGTCAAGGGTTAAGATCACATTACCGGTCATCTTTAAAAAAAAAAAAATATCACAAAGCAATTAGCCTTGTTTTCCCATCTTTCTCTTCTAGAGTGTGGGTGCATCCTAATTTTTCTTAATTACATTTATAAGAAGTGTTGACTATTTCATATACACAATTAGCATTATAATTACCACAACTGTGGGTAAAAATGTCATCCCTCCTGTTCATTTTTTCACATTGCTACTTGTAAATTGTGGAGTGTGATGTATAGGGCTGTTCGGGGATGAGGGATGAAGTTAGGACCCAAACCAAGAAGCCTGCTGGGCAGCGAGGGTGCCTCCCCCACACTCACTGTTCACAGTGCTGTGCTCACCTCTAGCTGAGAAGAGGGTCAGCACACCAGAAGCTCAATCCTGAATGAGTTTCTAAATGGGAATTTTTACAACACTTTTGGAAGGTATGTGGATGAGACTTGGGTGATTTGTTACAGTCCTAACTCCAAAGCTTAATTCAAACCTTCCCGGGGCTCTACTGGACTCAGAAGCCATCAGGAGCTGGAAAGTGAGACTTTGTTGCCACAGGAGGAGGGAGCAGTGAATCTTCCTTTTCTGAAGAAAAGAAGAAAAAATAAAACAAAATCCCAGGGCCCATCTGTCCCATTTAGATGGAAAATTTTCAATCACAAAAAGGCATTTTGGAGCTAGTAGAGGAAACTTAATATGGATTAGTTCTCAAATGGTATCAGAGAATTGTTAATATTTTTAGGAGGGATAATGGCATTGTGGTTATGAAGGAAAATGTTTTTATCTTTAGGAGATGTGTGTTGAAGGGGTAAAGTATTATGATGTTTGCAACTTATTTATTTTCCACATATATTGAAAATATACATATATACAGAGACAGTGCAAATATGGTAAATATTAGAAATAGTTAAATTTAGATATTGGGTGTATGGGCAGTCATTGAACCAGTAATTAAGGGTCTGTTTATTATTTGGAAATGCTTCTAGCTAAAACAAAAGAAAACTCAATTGGCAAGGGTTTAAACTCTAAGAACACGCATTCTTTACTGAACAAGGATTCCAGAGTCTCCCATTCAGGGCTGGTTCAGCAACTCAGTGACGCCATCAAGACCCCATCTTGTTCTGCCATCTGCCTGGTCATCCTCAGCAGATTGACTCTGACACTGTTGATTCATGATTACGAGACAGCTGCCTCGGCTCTAGGCATCATGGTCACGTTCAAAGGCAGGACGTATGTGGGGAAGAGCAAAAGCAAACTTTCCTTGTACGCTTGCCTCTTTGATCAGAAAGCAGAATCTTTCCCAGAAGCCCCCAGGCGCCTTCTGCTTACACCTCAGTGGCTAGAACAGTTCTGGGGCCAATCCCAGCTCCAGGGGAGTCTGAAACGGAAACACTGTAAGGGATTCGTTCACGCATCCATTGTGACTCATCCCCTTGTGGGGGCATCGTCACCATGAACAATATTGGTGTTCTGTTAACAAGAAAAAGTGGAAAATGGCACTACTTGTCGTTTGCCAAACAGATGCCCTTTTTCCCTAGAAGAGAAATTGTTCTGTTTCATAGATAACAGAAGTGACTTTAAATAAAACTAAACTAAAACCCATTCTGCACTATATCATGTTGATGGTCAACAGAAAGATAAGTGGTATCCAAAAGGAGAAGTTTCTCGTCTTCCTGTATATGATCTCTTTACCCTAGTGAAACAGAAACTTTTAAATCATCCATAAAAACCATTTTTTGCTTCACTTTCAATTTTGGTAATTCACTTCCATATGTAGTTTGCCTGTAAAGATTGTTCTCATCGTGATGAACATTGTGCAGCAGAATGGAGTATACAGCAGCACTCCTCCAATTGTTAGCCACGGGTGTTGAGTCTCCTCTATATGTGAAGCATTGTAATTGGTGGGTTATGTGTTCTCTCATTTATGCAAGAAGGATGTGCCTAGCTGTTAGAAAAAACCCCAACTAAGTCTGAGTGATCATACTTAATAACGAAAGAGAAAACTGAAAGCTTTCAAAAACCTTTCCAATTTCTACTAGTTATCTAATTTCTAGATAATTAGAGTTCCCTCCTGTCATTTTCCCTATCTGTTGGTCTAAGAACAGGTTTTTCCTTTAGAAAAGCTGCTACATACTCATTGTAGATGTACTGCAATAAATTTTCAGACCAATAATAGCCACCTAACCATCACTGAAGCCCAAAGTTATGTGTCTTTGGAAGGCACAGAAGGGAGTGGCTTGAGCTCAGAGGGTCTCTGAGTGTCCAGAAGTTCCTCACCACCACAATGGCCCATTTGATGATTTAGCACGTGATGTGGATGGTTGGCATCTAGCTTGTACCTCTGGTTGACAGCTGAGAACTGCTCTGCCGTGTAGTGCTCTTCTCTAGAGTCAGCATGGACAAGCATAGGCTGACAGCTCTCCAGGGCTGCTCCGGACTTCTCGGTCATTTGTTGATGGAGGCAAGCCTAATAGAAAAGAAGCTCAGCTGGTTGAGAGAGTCTTTGACTAGACTAACATCAAGTGGCTATAGAGTAGTGGGTTAAAGAGAAGGTAATGGGTGCACCATCTGGAAACTAGATGAAGGTGTCTGAATGGATGGACAAGTCACAGAAAATGGCCACAACATATGAACATCCAAGTGAGGAGATGAGATTTAGAGCAAGGTCCAGCAAATTAACAGAGAGCAGACCTGGACTGATGCCTGAGTGGAACTCACAGGTTCTTCTACTGCATCTCTATTCACTCACTTACATATTTTTGGGGTGTCTACTATGTACCAGCAACTGTCCTAGGTGCTGAGAATATGGTGGTGAACAAAACAGACCAAGATCCCTCCCCTCATGGAACTTACCTTCCTGTGGGGAGAGAAAATTATAAACAAGATACAGAAGTAAATTATATAGTATGTTAGTGATAAATGGTAAGAAAAAAAAACAGCAAAAGAAGATAAAGGAGTGTATAGATGCTGCACTTACAACATGGTAACCACTAGCCTTGTGTGGCTATTTCTATTTTAAATTAATTAAAATTTAAAATCCAGTTCCTCAGTCGCATCAGCCACATTTCCAGTGCTCAATAGCCACGGAGTGGGTATGCTGTTGAACAGTGAAGATACACTGCCATCATTGCAAAAAGTTCTGTTGGTTAATGTTGGTCTAGAGGGTGCAATTTTTAGATTGGGTGGATGGAGAAAGTCCCACTGAAAAGATAACTTTTAAATAAAGCCTTGATGGAATTGATGGGTTGTTGGGATGAGTCATGTGCATTCCTCGAGGAGTGTGTTCCGGACAGAAGGAACAGCATGTGCAAAGGTTCGGAGGTGGGAATGAAGCCCGCATGGCTGGGGCATAATCAGTGGGGACAGAGTAGTAAAAGCTGAGGTCAGAGAAGTCAGTGGAGGGAGGCAGATCCTGTAGCACTTTGTGAGCCATTGTAAGGACTTTGGATTGTAGTCTGAGTGAGATGGAACCCTTAGAGGTTTTTTTTTTTTTTTTTTTTTTTTTTTTTTTTTTTTTTT